GAGAAATAGGTAGCCGCGTTAGATTTGTTCTATTTACATTTAGACACGGTTATATATTTTTAGCACTTTGTCTTGTTTTTCCCTGCCCCATAACTGTAATAATAAACTATTTTAATGTTCTCTGCCTGGTCATCATGCCTATGGTTCTCGGCTTAAAAGGAGCATTTTTGGCAGGGCTTGGGAGGGTATCCTAAGTCCAGAGTGGTGGCAGAGGAAGGTGGCTACCCACAGGGTAGCTTGACACCCCCATTAATGCCAAGGGCATTAATTACCATTCTGCTCCCCATTGATGCCAAGGGCATTAATGACTATTCTGCCCACCATCAATGCCCGGGGCATTAATAACCATTCTGCCCCCTATTAATGACCATTCTGCCCTCTATTGATGCTCAGGGCAAGGGTCCCTATCGCTCTACCCTTAAGGCACTACTACTGCTACCCAAATCTCTAAGAATGGGCGAGAAGTTCCAGGGTGTTGGGATTTCTGCCTTTAACTTAAGGCTGGTTGCAAAGACAAGAGCCACAGGCCGTGCTTAATGTTATAGAAGAACAGTTCTAAGTTTACTGAAAAACAAAAGGGGCAGGGAACTTTGGATCGAAGAAAACGAAGAATACATCCTAGCTTCTGAACTTGCATCCCAGCGGTTACATTGCTGAAAACAGAATAATGGCTACTCCATCTCCTTCTTCTTGCTCAGGACAAAGAGAGGCAGTCCTGCAATAAAACTTGTGAATACCGTGCATGCAAGATCAATGTGTTTCCTATAAACAAGATGTCAACGGACCAGTAGAAAGGTTACAGGTCACTTAATTGGGATAAACAACTCCCATAAACTTTCTGGCACAAACTCATCTCTACTCTAAGTGGTTATAGGTTGTACGATATAATGTCCTGTTCACTAACAACATCTAACAGTATCAGTTAACTTTATAACGGCTGAAATGTAAGCAACTTGTACACTCTCACACAAGGGCCAAGGCCACATTCGCGCATGTGGCCCAAGAATGTTCCAGCCACCAATATACTGGTTCCCAGTGCAAAGTCCAAGAGGGTCCCTTGCTTTGGAAGAATAGGTCTTGGAACACAGGGCGCAGAAGATGCCTAGCATCTGATAGCAAAATGGAACCTCCATGTTCCAAGGCAATCTACCTTTGAATACCAGGTCCTGCCCACCTCCATGTTTTTCCTGCAAGCTCTGAAGTATCCTCGGCGGCCACCGTTAGCCTCAGCCTAAGCTGCGCGGGATCCCGCAGGTCACCACTTGTGCCGACATTCATGTTGCATTCTCCCGTCCCCCATGTAGCCGACGCTGACAAAAAGCTCTCTGCCGAGGAAGAGGAGGCCCGGCGGATCGCTGAAATGGGCAAACCCATCCTCGGGGAAAACTCCCGCCTTGAGGTCATCATTGAGGAGTCCTACGATTTCAAGGTAAGCAGAAAACAGGGGACCCGTGTCGCTGTGCCCATTTCCCACACGTTGACCCTGGATGTAGAGGAGAGGAGCCCTCCAAACCAGGTGGGGACTGGCAAGCCAGGTGTGGTGTGTTAGCTGCAGGCAGGGAAGGGGAAATGACGTCCCGGCATCCTTTCCCTCCCTTCTTCTTACCACCTCCCCTCCCTTTCTGCTCGGCAAAGGAGATGTCAAGCGAAGGAGGGAAGCAATGGCAGCTGCAGGTGGCAAGTGAGGGCCAAGGGCAGCTCTCTCCCTGTAAAGGTAAAGGTGTCCCTTGCTCGAAAGCCAGTCGAGTCCGACTCTAGGGTTGCGGTGCTCACCCCCATTTCTAAGCTGAAGAGCCAGCGCTGTCCGAAGACGTTTCCGTGGTCACGTGGCCGGCATGACTAAACACCAAGGCGCACGGAACACTGTTACCTTCCCACCGAAGTGGTACCTATTTATCTACTTGCAATTTCTTGCTTTCGAACTGCCAGGTTGGCAGGAGCTGGAACTAGAGACGGGAGCTCACTCCACTGTCATGCGGCACCACTCGGGTCTTGAACTGCTGAACTACCGACCTTCCACAGCCTGCAGTTCAGCGTCTTAACCACTTGAGCCACCGCAGCTCCTCTCTCCCTGTACCACTGCCAAAATAAGGTCTGTCCCTGCCCCCTGTCTCCTATGCAAGAGGAAGGCTTGCATCCCTCCCTGGAGGGTTTTCTTCACAGGGGTCTCTTGCCCGTTTCCCTTCCTCCATCAAGTTGGGAGAGAGGCTCCAGCTGAGAAGGGCATGGAAGGGGTGAAACACCCCTACCCCTGTTGGACACGTGGATGCAGGAAGCCACCTTATACTGAATCAGACCCTTGGTCCGTCAAGGCCACTGTTGTCTAATCAGACGGCAGCGGCTCTCCAAGGTCTCAGGCGGAGGTCTTTCACGTCACCTCCTACCCGGCTCTTTTTACTGGAGATGCCGGGGATTGAACTTGGGACCTTCTGCATGCCAGGCAGAGGCTCTGCCACTGAGCCATGGACCCTCCCATGATCACATGAAGCTGCCTTATACTGAATCAGACCCTTGGTGCATCAGTCTTCATAGGCAATTCCTGAGACCCTGGAGAGAGCGGCTGCCAGTCTGAGTAGGCAAAACCTGAGATCCTGTGAGAGCAGCTGCCAGTCTGAGTAGGCAACATCGACCTTGATGGACCAAGGGTCTGATTCAAGATAAGGCAGAATCATGTCTTCATTAGACAGGCTCATTTGGTTAGCGATATTCTTACCCTGCTTCTTATAAAGAGAAGAATCTAATACATTATGTTCTGAAACTCCTAAGGGAATGAGGTCTCCATTAATCCAATGGGAGGATTTTTTCATCCCGTCATCTATCTGCCCGATCCACCATGACTGCTGGATTGTGCCCCCTGATCCGACTCCACCTCCTGCACCGCTAGTCTCCGCCCCCTGAGTTCCCAGGCCCCTCCCCTCCCTCAGTCTTGGGAGGTCTGGAAACCTTCATCGTGTCTCTCTTGCTCCCTCCCGTCTAGAACACGGTGGACAAACTCATCAAGAAAACTAACCTGGCGCTGGTGATCGGCACGCACTCCTGGCGGGAGCAGTTCCTCGAGGCAATCACCGTGAGTGCGGGTAGGTGGACTTTGGGAGAGGGCCGTCTTTGGGAGAGTTGGTGGTGGTGGGGGAAGTGCCATCTATGGTGGCCCCACAGAGTTGTCGAGGCAAGAGATGATCAGGCGGTTGGCCATGGCCTGCCTCTGCACAGCAACCCTGGACATTCCCTGGTGGTCTCCCGTCCAAATACTGACTAGGGCTGACCTTACTTAGCTTCCAAAATCTGTTATGATCAGGCTAGCCTTTGGCCATCCAGGTCAAGGCAAGCGACGAACAGAGGTGGTTGGCCATGGCCTGCCTCTGCATAGCAACCCTGGGCTTGCTCGGTGTTCTCCCATCCAAATACTGACCCTGCTTAACTTCCAAGATCTGATATGATCAGGCTAGCCTTTGGCCACCCAGGTCAAGGCAAGCGACGAACAGAGGTGGTTTGCCATGGCCTGCCTCTGCGTAGCAACCCTGCACTTCCTGGCTGGTCTCCCATCCAAATACTGACCAGGGCCGACCCTGCTTAGCTTCCGAGATCTGATGAGATCAGGCTAGCCGGGGCCGTCCAGGTCAGGGTAAATGGACGCATACCAAAGAATTATGTAAAAAATGACGTCTGGATCGAAACACTGGGGAATTAAACAGAAGAAACACCGAAGTGGCAAAATGGGGTTTTTTTTACAGATCAGGTTGTCGGTGCAATCATATTTTTTTTAAATGCTCCCGGATATAAGAATCTCCCTGTCGGCAGAAGGGTAGCACACCAGGGAAAGGAATGGAACAAGAAGGTTTCCCCTACTGTGCTAGATTTCTTTCTTGCAGGGAGGTTATCCGCAGGAGAGCATCTGAAAACAGCCGCTCCCTACCTGCCGTCTGAAGTAGTCCAGACCGCTTCATCCCTGCAAGGCCCTTGGCCGTTGTCGATTGAGTGAGATGGGATGCTGGACTTAGATGGACCACTGGTCTGATCCAGCAGGGCTCTTCTGATGTCGTTATCAGGGGAAGGCCTCGGCCGCTCTGCCCTGTTGTTGGCCCTCCAGAGGAACTGGTTGGCCCCTGTGTGAGGCGGGATGCAGGACTAGATGGACCCTCCCTGGTCTGATCCAGCAGGGCTCTTCTGATGTTCTTATGAAGACCTTGGCCTCTCTGCCCTGTTGTTGGCCCTCCAGAGGAACTGGTTGGCCACTGTGTGAGACAAGATGCTGGACTAGATGGACCCTCACTGGTCTGATCCAGCAGGGCTCTTCTGAGGTTCTTATCAGGGGAAGGCCTCGGCCTCTCTGCCCTGTTGTTGGCCCTCCAGAGGAACTGGTTGGCCACTGTGTGAGGCGGGAGGCTGGACTAGATGGACCTTCACTGGTCTGATCCAGCAGGGCTCTGCTTATGTTCTTATGTTTAGGAATACGAAAATGGCTTTTCTGCCAGTGGCTGGACGGAGGCTGCCATGAATCCGTGTTTTGCTCCACAAACCAAGAAATCTAGAAATTGCTTTGCGGGGGGGAAATAAATAAATAACAGGCCCAGCAACTCAAGCTTTTAGTGCCCCCTCGAAATTTCTGAAAATGACAGCACCCTCGATAACAGTGTGGGTGTTTCCAGTGCTGGCAAAAAAGGGGGGGATGATATTATTTTTTCGCTCCTGCACTATGAAGCGCCCACATCATTCTCCATCTCTCTTCATGCTCACAGTCCTGTCTTTTCAACGTCCTGGGTGAGGCCAAAAAATAAAAAAAGCCATTTCCCATTCCTTTAGACTTCAGAACGGGCCTCTTCAACGGTTCCTCTGCCCGGGCGAGGGGGCACAGTTTCACCTCAGTTGCCCAGAAATCCTTTTTTAGCACCCTCAGCCACGGTATTCGGCTTGCTGAGAAATTTCAACTAAAACGGTGGAAGGGAAAGGAGCTGTAGTGGAATGTGTCTCTAGAAAGCGGGCAGGGCCAGATGGAACTGTGGCCCAGCGAGACTTCCGGTTGGCGATTGGAGATTTGATTTGGCCATGCAGATTTTTTAAAATGTGGCTTCGGTCAGCAGCGGCCCTCAGAACACAAGGAACTTCACTGGGTCACGGAAGGTCAGCCGCGGCGGCCATTTTGTGGCTGGCTCCACCCTGTGCGGCAGCTGTTATGGGGCTGGGTCCACCAGTTTGGTGTAGTGGTGAAGTGCGTGGACTCTAATCTGGAAGAACCGGGTTTGATTCCCCACTCCTCCGATTGCAGCTGCTGGATGACCTTGGGCAAGCCGTAGTTCTGTCAGAGCTGTTCTCTCAAGGGCAGTTCTCTCAGAGCTCTCTCAGCCCCATCTCCCTCACAGGGTGTTTGTTGTGGGGAGGGGAAGGGAAAGGAATTTGTAAGCTGCTTTGAGACTCCTTCGGGTAGTGAAGGGCAGGATATAAATCCAACCTCCTCCTCCTCCTCTTCTTCTCCTCCTCCTCCTCCTCTTCCTTTTCCTCCTTCTCCTTCCTCTTTTGCAGCAGCCATTGTATAGAATTTCAGAATTTCAAAGGTCTCACCAAAGTTGGGGACCCATGTTCTAACAAGTCATGCATGTGGAATTTCTATACCCCACATTGCTAGGACCCCAAGTCTGGCCCAACCAGAAAAACAGTCCAGGAAGTCTGTCAGGGATATAACCCCGCAGGTTGCCTGCATCAATAGTGGATGTACACTGTTGTCCAATGCACACTTTTTTTCCCCCATTAACATTTTATTGGTAGGATTATAAAGTTTCGAGAAGTCATAACTGTCAATTACTTATAACATTAGAAATGTACATAAGGATCATAAGAAAAGTTAAACATTCAAACCAATACACCGATGACAAAAACAAACAACATCAACAACAAGAAACGTAAGCTTCAAAGAATAATACATACTTCAATATACCTTTGAACAAAGTAACTTGTTTTAGCCTCAATTTGCAATTGGAGCCTGTACTGTTTGTTGTTTTAGGTACAACCAAGTGTCTTCTGCCAACAAGACTATCTGTAGACATCCAATAATATATCTAACCATGCTTTTGTAGATGAAAGAGGGAAGATAATGTACTTTAGTAATGGTGCCCAGGGTCCAGATATAGTAACCTGGAGCACGGTGGTGCAATAGTCAGTTAATCAGTTTCCTGTAGTGGTTAAGAACATGGACTCTTATCTGGGAAAACAAGGTTTGATTCACGACTCCTCCCCATGCAGCTGCTGGTGTGACCTTGGGTCAGTCACAAGTTCTCTCAGAGCTGTTCTCTCAAGAGCAGTCCTCGAGAGAGCTCTCTCAGCCCCCACCTACCTCACAGGGTGTCTGTTGTGGGGAGGGGAAGGGAAAGGAGAGGGTAAGCTGCTCTGAGACTCCTTCGGGTAGTGAAGGGTGGGGTATAAATCCAATCCCTTCTTCTTCTTCGTCATAATTTTTAAAGTGAATATTCCAACTGACTCTTGAGCTCATTTTATCCCCCTTGGATAACCTACTGACTCCGGTGGGACTTTGTTCCCAGGTAGTGCAAACTGGATTTCAACCGTAGTTAATTATGCTGCTTCTTAACAAGGCTGGTCCCGTCCGGTTTTGCTATGACGGCTAGGTTTTGGAACAGAATTCTGTGGGGGCCAGCACGCCCTCCCCCCAAAGCAGGCTGTAGCTTTGCCTGGGAAGTTTCCGTTGCAACCTAAAGGGAGGCTTTAAGCAGGGCTTTTTTTGTAGAAAAAGCCCAGCAGGAACTCATTAGCATAATAGGCCAAACCCCCTGACAGCACAGCTCATTAGCATATTAGGCTACACCCCCATGTTACCAGAAGTGTGGTCATCCAGCCACACCCACCTTTTGCTCCTTATTCTGTTTACCTTGTTTGTTGTCAAAACCCAGGGCTTTTTTTGTAACAGGAACTCCTTTGCATGTTAGGCCACACACCCCTAAGGTAGCCAATCCTAATGAGTGTCTGCTCTTGGGTGTGGCCTATTATGCTAACGAGTTCCTGCTGGGCGTGGCCAACTCGGGAGCCAGCCGGAACTCTGTTCCTGTGCGTTCCTGCCCAAAAATAGCCCTGGCTTTAAGGAATGGTGATAGAGCATCTGTTTGGCATGCGGAAGGTCCCAGGTTCGATCCCCGGCTTCTCCACTTAACAGGATCAGGTGGGAGGTGATGCGAAAGACCTGGATATAAAATCCTGGAGAGCCGCTGCCAGTCTGAGTAGACAATACTGACTTTGACGGATCAGGGGGCCTGATTCAGTAGAGGGCAGCTTCACGTGTTCATGAGGCCTCCATAGGACCAGAGTCTAAAACCATGGAGCTGAAACACTGGATTCCTCTACTCCTTCCACCTCTTAGCGGCGGCTTGGAGAGACCCAGATTTTGATACCTGGGTCCGCTTCCAGGTGTGGTTGTCCGCCCCCCGGCAGTATTCTGTCATTGCCCAAAGACACATTGATACTTTTTACTGGGCCATTGTAGGTTGGCTTAAAAGGACCCCAGCTTTACGGTGCCGCAGAACGCTTTCTCGCCGACTCCCGAACTTCACAAAAGATATCCGAATTGGCTGTCCAAAATGGGAAAATGCCTCAAACGAGGAAGGCAGCTATCCATACTTGAAATATCCTACACGCACCCTTTTGCAACATGGAAAGTTCTGTGAAAGTTCTGTGAAAGTTCTGTGAAAGTTCTGTGAAAGCCCAGGCTAGCCCGATCGTGTCAGGTCTTGGAAGCCAAGCACGGTCAGCCCTGTTGAGTACTTGGGTGGGAGACGAGCAAGGAAGTCCAAGGTTGCTACGCAGAGGCAAGCAATGGGAAACCACCTCTGTATGTCTTTTGCCCCGACCTGGATGGTCCAAGCTGGCCCGATCTCATCAGAGCTCGGCTGCTAAGCAGGGTCGGCCCTGGTGAGTACTTGGATGGGAGACCACCGAAAAAGTCCAGGGTTGCTACGCAGAGGCAGGCCATGGCAAACCACCTCCGTCTGTCTTTTGTCCTGACCTGGATGGTCCAAGCTGGCCCGCTCTCATTAGAGCTCGGAAGCTAAGCAGGGTCGGCCCTGGTTAGTACTTGGAT